GTATGTAGCTGCCATACAAACAGGACAATTGGAGTGAAGTTCTGGTATAAAATTCTTTTATTTGTGAAGGATATTACAGCTTCAGTGTAATGATTAATGCTTTTGCTTTGTTTGATTAATTTAACGGATTTTATTTATGTAAGACCATATACAGTAATAAATGTGTATGTGCGAGTGCAATGCATTAGATTATAATAAGTTTGACGTGCTTTTAGCTTCGTAATTTTTAAGTTATTATACTCCTACAAGCAGTAATTATTTCTCGTGTCAAACCTTGAAACCACATTCACACATTCACACATATAGAGTACAACCATAAATACTCAGCAAAAGTTCGCTTGCCGGCACTCATCCAGAACTTAAGTAAGCCTGCATTTACAAGTTTGCCGATGTGCATATACATATCTATGTATGTATGTACATATGTATGTATACTGCTATATGGTTATACACTTCAACACACGTCCTTGTGTTCGTGTGAAAATACGACGCGCGTCTTTTACTCACTCGCTTCCGTCGTCGACGCCATTCGGCGTGTTAAGTGCGCTTAAATTGTTTATGTTGCATAACCACCGCGCCCCAAAGTGTGTTGCTGTGTTATAAATTCGGTAAAGAAGTTTGCACGACACCCGCACTCACACACACAGCCACGCATATAAGCCAACCCACGCCGGTGGGGAGCGTTACGGTAGCCATTCAAATTCACCGAGAATGCAATACTGACTTATGCCGCGCATTTACACACACACACATCCGCTCTTATGCGTGCATATGTTCCGTACGGCCGCACCGTACGTCACGTTAATAAATATCCTGTTGCGCGGCCTTTTCGGAGGCTTCGTATATRTGCCACGCGCTGGAAATGGCCAAAGCACTCATTTTTCCAACCTTTTTCCAAGCATTTTCCAAAGAAATCAAATAAAATAAAGTTAGAAAAGCGTGGAAACGCTCGTGTGCCTTTGTGCGCGGCATAACTTTGGTTCCGCTTGGCGCATTCCAAGTTTCGCGCATTCGGAATGCTTTCTCAAAATATTCCTTTTATGACTGCTGCAAATTTTATTTTTTATTTAGCCGTCGCAGGTGTCTGCGTATGTGTTGCTGTCGGCATATGCTCACACACACACACACACACGTATAAATAAATAAATCGCAAATCATAAAAGTTGTGCGGAATTGAATTGAAGCATCCATAAATTTCGAAACCCATTGTTGGTGTTGTGGCTGCTTTGACGTGCTCGTGTGTGATACGGGCTTCGGGTGTGGTGGGGGCGCCCTGTGATTTACTGCAGATCATTCAATTTTTAATGGAAAAGTTGTACGCATCCRGAGCTTTGAACGCTCCACACTTTGCTACGCGTGTATTATTAATCTGGATGCTGGCAGCTCATTTACTTTGTAGATAAACTTTTCGGCATTTGCTTTAGATTTATTTCCGCTTTTTGTTTCAAGCATTTAGCGCGCTGAGCGCCTAAATATATATTAAAATAAGCAACACAAATATTGTTGTTGGTTTTCTTTATTGTCTACTGAAGCCATTGTATCAATTATGTATTGGAATGACTAAATTTCCATCCATATGTGGCGATGAGCAAGAATTCGCTTACAGAAGGTGCTTTCAAAACGACGCTATAAAAGTAGACCGATGGGGACAGCAAACGACGGCATATGTTTTCCACTCTTTCAACATTTCTCTTCAGTAAGGTTAGCCATTACATTATGGAAATATATATGGTCCAACAACGAGTCGAAATTATTAAAATTTACTGGCGAAACTCGGATTCAAGAGCGCTACGTCCGCACTGTCGTCAAATCAAAGTTTGAGCGTCTAGTGGACAAATTTGAATCCATAGACACAGCACAAAATGTTCCCGTGCCGTGCCGTGGGAGACAAAGGAATGCCCGCAGTGTCGAGAATATTGCTGCCTGCCGCTAGCGCATCAATTGAGGAAGATACAAATCAGTCTCTCACAAGTTGTTCTGAAGCATTGGGCATCTCTGTGACGTCGTTGTGGCGAATTTTGCATACAGATCTTGGCCTACATCCATACAAGATCAAACTGACGTTAGAACTGAAGCCGCTTGACCACCAGAATCTTCGTATGTTCGTGAATTGGGCTGCGCAACAACTTGAAAATCCGGATTCGGATGCCCAGTCAATTGGCCGCCTTGGTCGTGCGATTTAACGCCGTTAGACTATTTCCAGTGGAGTTACGTCCAGTTTATGGTCTGTGCCAACAAGCCAGCGACGATTGATGAACTTCGTACCAATATAGAACGAGAAATTGCAGCAGTGTCGGTATATTTATGCGTGAAAACCGTCGAAAATTGGGTTCAGCGTCTAGGCTTCTGCAAGCGCGCCCGTGGTGGCAATGCAAAAGAAATCGCTTTCCCTGCTTAATCGCATCGAATATACTTTCACAGGAATACAGAATCTTTTTGTAGCGTTCTTATTGAAAAACCCGTTACTAGTACTTCAAATAACTCACTTATAATACTTCGTTCCAGTTCATAGGAAAATCGTTCATTGAAAAAAATATGAATTTTCAGTTAAAATATACTCAATTTATTTGAATTTCAACTATTTTTGTTGTTGGCAACACTTTATTAAATTGCGAATCGCAAACAGTTTTTTGTTGACGACAATTTTCAATCGCGAAAGCAATTAAATATGCAATTTTAAGGTTAAATTTATAGCGCMTCGTATATGTAACGGTGCATCATGTTTGTGTCTGTGTGCGAAATATTGTAAATGATGTTAGTGCAGGCGTCGGGGCCCTGCTGCGGCAGGAAGCAGCCTCGCTGCTTGCCTGGCGCACACGTGAGCTCACTTCGTTTTATCCTCGCCGCGCAATGATCATTAAGTACACCAAACTTAATGCCCTTCTCCCCCCCCCCTGAAATATGTGTACATATTACTGAAAACGCACACACACACAAGTACTTGCCGAGAGTGTGGAGTAGATAACTCTGATATCGCGGCGGCGACACACACAGGCGGCTGCGGCGCGTCTATTGCTTATATGAGTACACTGCCTGCAGAAAACGATCGCGAATACCTCAGATCGGGATATTGGATAGTGGTGCTATATGTAGTCCTTTGTGAAGCCGTCCGARGTTATGCGCTCCAAAGTATCTTGACCTCCCWAATGCGGGGCAGTCCAAGTAGGAAGTGTTGACTTCTTTCTACCTCATCTTCTTCCGTAGAGATTCTGCAGATGGGTCTGGTAGGATTTCGAGCCTCATTGCGTGGACACTTAGAAGGCAATGGCCTGTTAAAAGCTCCAAAACTTGTAAGAGGCTGAAATTGCTGAGTGCACCATCGACGCTATTGATAGCGAGGTTAGGCACACCATCACTAGCCCTGAACACACTGTCAATGAGTCCACGGAATGCCGAACAGTAAGGGTCGTTTGCAAGTAAATTATTTAGAGAGTAATGACTGAGAATTATGGCTAGCTTCTTGCTTGAATGGTGTGTACGTGTAATGTGCAAAAGGGGTCCAACTCCTGAACACAAGTCCAGAACAGTATGGAAGCTCAAATAGTAGTAATTTCGACTACGATGTCTGACCGGAGACTTAATTCTGGTCTGGTCTGGTGGTCGGGAAGCAAGAGCCCTTGGAGTTCGCTTAATTCCGCTCATGCGGACTGGCCTCTCGGGGAAAATCGTGGTGGTTCTGATCAAAACCCTGATGCGGGAAGAACTGACACTTTGTTACTTGAATGTGGAGTTGCATTGCAACTGGGTGCCGGACCCAAAGTACGGCAGAGGTTTTAGATAAGCTTTGAACCCTACCAAGGTGGTTAGTGTGTCCAGCCCACACTGCCAATTGGTACTAAAAAAGCTTGGCAACCTCGACTTGCTGTGATAGTCAGGCAGTCTGAAGCTGGAGTTGATAGAGAGCTCCTCACAAGTTAAACACCCCAAAAAAATCAATAAGTCAGAGAACTTGTCGCACGCACTGTGAGTTGGGCCTGTTGACGTCATATCTTTGCGCTCGGATGTGAGAGTACGGCATACACATGCGCACATTAGGAAGATGTGCATTGCTGAAAGGATATTAGTGTGCTCACGAATGGCAACAGCAGGCGCACTGACTTTTATGGTGTCTGCACTACACACACACATACACTCAACTCATTTTATCTGCATGTTTCACCGCATTTCACTTTAAATGTCATCAAAGCGCAAATAATTTTATGCTCAGTATATTTGCATGTCGACACACACACACTCATATCTCACGCATCCTGTGCTCAGACCGGTGGTACAGGTGGAAGAAGATTCAGAGCCGGGTGGCTGACACATTCATTTCCGCACTGCTGACTCAGTTTTAATTTCTTTTTGTTTCTGCTTCATATTTTATTTAACTTCGTCGACGCGGAAGAACTCGCTGCCAAAAGGCTTGTGGGTGGCTTTGTAAGGCAAAAAATAAATGATGAAAGTATTAAAGCTTTTACATTTTTCAAATTGCTGGAAGAGTAGAGATGCCTCATATATGCGTTTTAGCAATAAAAATTAATTTTTTAACAAAAATTATAATTTTTAATTGTTCAAACTTTTATTTCAAAAAATGTTAAAATTTCATTTATCTGTGACTTCGTGTGTATTTCTAGCAAATTTTAAGTTTACCTTAGTTAGTTCTGCATGTGTGTATGTATGTGTGGCAACCCTTTAAAATCACTGCCAAGCGCACAGCTGCATGCTTAACGGTACCACATAAATAATTTTGTATATTTGTGTTTTATTCATGTATTAGTGTGTACACTTGTAACACGCACGACAACAACACTTGCTAGAAAGAAAGATAACACACACCCACACACAAACACACTTAATAAAGTATAAAACAAACGAGCATTAAATTTTAATCAAATAAATCATGCAAAACGTTGTTTACTTATCTTTTACACACTTTTGTTTGCTCTTTATTTCAAACCAAAACAACAACRACATTTYTCRCTGTCTCGCGCTTAATGTTGCGGCTTTCGCTTAACCAGCAGGCAGCAGGTGTTCAACATCAATCTGCCGTGCACCGTCGAGAACAAGGAGAACACTCGGCCGTTTGTGATACGCGAGAGCAGCAGCGACAGCGACGAGGGCGACGGTCGCATACTCTATCGCGACGACGACAATGACCGGCAGGCGAAGATTGCGCGCAAGGAGTCGCTGTCGCTGAAGCTGCAGCTGCGGCCCGACAAGCAGGATCTGATCAACCGCAACATTCTGCACCAGGTGACCGACAATGAGATCAAGGAGTCGAAGGAGGCCATTGGCGCACGTCTCATACGCCGACTGTCGATGCGTCCCACAGCCGAGGAGTTGGTGGAGCGCAATATCTTAAAGAGTGAGTATTTCAATGGCAAGCAAACTTGCTCACACAATACTACCACCGTTGAATGCCGTTGTATTTGTGTTGTTGTTTGCGTTGTTTGTTAATTGTGTGAATTTATATAATTATTGTGGCACATTATTTCTTATTGGTTCAGCACAATCACCCGCCGAAGAGAAGAAGCAAAAGGAGGAGAAGAAATCGTATTTGCTGCGAAAATTGAGTTTCCGACCCACCGTCGAGGAGCTGAAGGAGAAGAAAATCATCCGTTTCAACGATTATATTGAGGTGACACAGGCGCACGACTACGATCGGCGTGCGGACAAGCCATGGACAAGACTGACGCCGAAGGATAAGGCTGCCATACGCAAGGAATTGAATGAGTTCAAATCGTCGGAGATGGCGGTGCACGAGGGTAGTCGGCACTTGACGAGGTAAGTTTATTTTTTAATCCCTGAACTGGGTATTTTAAGTTTGCCTCGAAGTTTTTAATAACAGGAACTTTTAGAGTAAAATGTATATGTAYAAAGRGTGTTCCATTTCGAGGTTACCTACTTACTTTGGYCACAGATGGTCCATCCGTTCAGTTCAATTTTCGATGACTCATTCGAGTATTTCGACTGATAACTGGCGAATGACACTCGTGGTATTTGGCTCTAACAACTTTAGACTAAACTTATCCTTACAGAAAAAAATCTAACGGTGTGTCATATCATATCGAACGTTCTTGGCGGCCAATCGACCGGCGCAAAACGTGAAATTATCTGTTCATCGAAGCGTTCTGTCAATTGATAGGTGTGATGTGTGGGAAGTGGCGCCGTCTTGTTGAAACCAAATGTCGCCGGGGTCATGAGCTTCAATTTCAGGCATGAAATAATCGGTTCTCATGGCGCGATAACGGTCGTCATTGACTGTTACGATCTCACCGACATTATTTTTGAACAAATATGGACAAATGATTCCACCGACCCACAAATCATACCAAGTTTTTTTTTTTTTTTTCAAGATGAAAAGACAACTCTTAAATCTCATCTGATTGCTCTTTGTCCCAATTTTGCTTGTTTCCATACTGTTAGCCACATCGCTGAACAAAAGTTGGCTCGAAAACGTCGGAACTTCGTGGAACTTTTCAGGATCCCATAGAGCGAAGCGCTGTCGTTAGGGAAGGTCGAGCGGCTTCATTTCCTGCACAAGCTGTATTTCGTACGCTTCCAATTTAAGATCTCAACGATAAATGCGCCGACTCGTTCCAATCAAAGTCAAGAAGAAGGTCTTTTTATACTATTTATGTTATATAAAAAACTTCGCGCCGAAGTTAGTGTTGTTTTTGTTGTCTCATATATAGCTACCCTTCCCTTGGAACTACAAATCAATTCAACCCGTAACAGTCGTGTCTTCGTAACCGAAACATACGAAAGTCTCTKTAATTCAGAAGATTAATATGGTCTAAATTACAAGGGAACTGTTTTAAATTTTCTTCAGTTTTCGTAAAGCCGAAAGCCAAACATTTTGACTTCAAAAAATCATTTTGTTTCATTTTAAAGATTTTCGCATTTTACATGCTCTCCTCCGCTCCGCTCTGAAGAGCCGCAACCGCAGTGCATCGTTTCCGTTTATGTAATTCGCTCTGTCGGTGGCTTTCGCCTGTCAATTGGCTTAATTAAAAAGTCATTTGGGCATTACTTTTGAGGACAAAAGACCACTAAAACCATTGCCGTTGGTTCAGCTTAAATTGCCAACTATTAAGGACCCAAGAGCCGGCCGAGTGTTGTGCCAAAAGCAATCGCACGCGCGCAACACACACACACACACATCGACGAAGTCAAGTCAAAGCGTATCCCATATGTGGTTGTGTATATACATATATATGTGTATATGTGTATGTGCGGCAGTTAAAGTGTGAAATGGACAATGTGTATAAATACCACAATTGTTGTAACGACACAGTTTAGTGTTGTAGCAGAGGAGCGACGCACGTACGCTCAACTAAGACACGACTTTAGAATGTAAGTAGAGAGACAAGGACAAAAAGAGACGAGCGCAGAATGGTAGGGGATTTGTAAAAATGTGGAGAGCACGAAAAAGTTTAATTTCAATGTCACTTCCTGTCACACAATGCCACGTCGAGGGGCACATTCATTTCGAGCGCTCACTAGCAAATCCATTCAAGTTCACTTAAATGCACATAAAAGATGTGTTGCCCTATATGCCACAATGTGGTGTGTGCCACGTGTGTATTGCACCGCCGCAGATACATATTCATGGGCGAGATATTTTGCCACAATTGCAACTAATGCAATAAAATGCAAGGCGACAGAAACAGAATGCGAAGAAATTCGAAGTAAACATTCATTGTATACGGATGTGACTGGAATAGGGCTTCTGAAATGAATGGCAAAATGGTGGATGGAAAGTCCTATTATCGCAGATGTGAGTGATCACAGTGTGTACAACAAAAAATCCTAGAAGATAAATTCGTTTGTGATATTTATGCATTTAGCCCGAATAACGGTACTTAAATCTTCTCGTAGCGTTGCTCAAACTAATGGCACAAATAATGTGAAGCAGTATGAAGCCAATGGTGCAAATTGGCCGCCGCATAAATTTTAACCAATCACAATCAAAGAAGATTTAAGAATTGAGGCTAAAATAACAAACACGTGAGGAATTTCCAAAAACATCCAAGGGGAAAGTCATAAAAGCTTTTAATGTCACAATAAAAAATTTAATGCTTTGATCTCGAAGTTAAGCCGCAAATATGCTTCCGATATAGATAAGACTRGTTCTGCTATCTTCAGGCAACAGCGACCGTTTCTGCAAAACGAAGCAAGCGTAGAATATATCATATAACGGGCGATCCAAGTAAAGGTAGTTTTTTAAAACCCTGTTT